AGGGCGGGGTGGGGAGGTGGGGGGGGGGGAAGAAGAGTGATTCAGATATGTAAAAGAGACAGAAGTACACAAACGTAGAGAAAAGGTAAGGTGAGGTGATTACTATGGAAGTGGTGAAATATGAAATACAGGGGGGGGGGGTTATGGCAGTTTGAGGTGAGAAGTCAACTGCCAGTTAATAGACTATTTTGCCTTATGGTAGGTATACGTTGCCCACGTGGAGGTAAGTCTGTCGCACACCCCTTCCGAATCGCATTGTCTGTTTGATCAGCAGTAGGAAATATTGAAAGCATTTACTAGGAGAATGAACATGTTGATTTACATTACGAAATGAGATTTAGGAATTATGGATACCAATTTGCATTTTAAAAAGCTATTACAAACATGGTCACTACAGGTGCCAAAAGTTCAAGCATATATTACCTGGCTTCGTTTATTTTTAGGTATATTGTAGTTGGACTGCATAATGGAGGTCTGGTAGTTTTCAATGTAAATTTCAACTGTTGGAGGGAGAAAATCCTAACTGGAGGAGGCTTTAAGGAACAAAAACCCAAGCTCTCTCTTCAAAAGCCAATCACACCAGCAGTTGCTGAAGAAGTTGCTGAAGAAAGGAAGGAAATGGGACCTGGCTCTAACTCTCCGACCCCTCCGACTAATACTGAGGAAGGCGGCAGTAATGATAGCACGGCGTCTGTTGAGGCTGCTGAACAAGCAGAGATCAAATCTTCAGAGGTGGATGGTGATAAGAGCGAGGAAGATGAAGCTGTTCCCGATGTCTCTAATTCGGAGAAGTCCCCTTCCCCTTAATCTGTTTTTCCCTTGTTTGCTTGTCTCCTTTTCATTTGATGAAGTGATACCACTTTTCTTCTTTCCTTTCTTCTTTTGTCTTGACCATTGACTGTGCTATTTTGTCGTATATATATATGTTTTCAAGCAACATTCCAATTGATCTAAGGTAATTCAATGACATTGCCTGGCTTTTTTGGTACGAATTTTGGGGGTTTTGTGGTGGATTGAATGTCAAATGGGCAAATTATTCACTTGCTGAATAGCCTAGGTGCTGCTTGTATGAAGTGCTGAGTCAGTTGAACTGATCTAAATTGCAGATATTTGAGTATGACCTAGTCTTTGATATCATTGCAACAGTTAATCTTCCACTACTACTGAAGTCACTCGAGTAGACGCGAAATATCGTGTGATTATATCAATGCTAAAAGTTAGAAAAATAAATGACTAAAAAGAGTGACTTGTCTAAGATCAGGTGGTGGTTAATATTAAATGGACAATTTCCGTACATGTATTTCAAGATACATTTTGTTGTGTTAAGATGATAATTATTAAGATGGGGTGTGCGATAAACTTTCCTCCACGTGGTGCACCATGAGCAACATATACTCGGCAAAATATCTATAAACCGATAGTTGACCTCTCACTCCAAACTACAATGACCCCACTGGGAGTCATATTTTACCACTTTCACAGTACTCATCTTACCCTTTTCTCTACCTTAATGTCTGTCTGTCTCTTCTACATCTTTGAATCTCTCTTCTGCTCCCCCTCTCGAACCCCCCTCAGTGAAGCCCGAAGTCAGCTAAATGGCTAATGATAATTATCAAAACCCCTTCCATTTGAAAATTAGTTGTTACGATTATTAAGATAATTGGATTACATTTTAAATGAATCTGTAAAGAAATTTCAATTCTGAAGTTCATATTGACCAACAGGAAAACAATTAAGTTCGAAATGGTGTGTCATGCCCCAAGAATTTACAAATATATTCATTATTAATAATTTGATTAAATAGGGGTATAAGAGTATGCGATAAGCGTGAACCTTATTTCGTCATAATACTCAAAATAGCTTATGTGCTTGCACACGATTTAAGCACTACCTCATCCTTTTACCGCAGTCGCTATTAACATCAACTGATTTATCATTGATTTTTTGCTCAAAATTGACAACGTCAGTCTCACTTAGGCAGCGCTTTAAAATTAATCACAATATATTTCTCCTAAAAAAGTGCACACTCCGTGTTCACCTGTTTTCATATCGATTTACGATTATGCGTGTTTTTGAAGGAAATAATACCAGATCGATTCGTAAGCACAGGCCTAGTTTTAACTATACCCCCCCCCCTCCCCACCTCCAACTGAATTCTCTCTGCTCCCAAGAGAATTGAAGAGATCAGATCTATCAATGTAGCTCCTGACCATTATTAAAAAAGCCGATTACGCCTAAAATTATTTACGCATATAATTTGGTCATTATGGTTATGGATTACCACCTAACATTTTGTAATTATATATGTTCCTGTAATTGGGGTGCGCGATAGACTTACCTCCAAGTGGTGCCCCCCGGGGCAGCGTATACTCATACGACAAAAGAGTCTATTAACCGACAATCGACTTCTGACTTCTAATTACCATGACCCCATTGTATGTCATATTTGATCACTCTCACAGTACTTACCTTACCTTTTCTCTACCTTTGTGACTGTCTGCCTCTTATGCATCTGTGAATCGCTCTTCTGTTCCACCCACCAATCGACTTTTCGTAACTTTGATGTTTCTCAACACTGTAAAGCCACAAGTTAACTAATGGGCTAATTATAACTAACATAAACCATTTGATTTACATAAATTTTCTTTTAGTTCATTTTCTTACTATAACTTGGCCTCTTTCAAAGTCAATACACCAACACATTAAAAAAATTGAGTATAATTTAATCAGATAATGAATTTGCGATAAGTGCAAGAAATTGGGTTTGTTTGTCAAAATGAGCCGCCTCCTCCGGTAACAGAGAGCTCCCAGTTTGAATCATCAATCCCTGAATGCTCTCTGTGAAGTTCATCTAAGGAAACACATTCGAAAATGGTTTAATTCTTTAAAATGCATACCAACTGGTATTTTTTCATATATATATGCAACAAAATAAACAGATGTCCCTCACTTCCTTATTTACCAATATTATTTAGAATGCATATTTATTTAAGGTAATTATTAAATACCAACTCACGTCTCGGGTCTTAATTCTATCGAGAGTGATGGCGCAAAGATGATTACGGAAAGCGGTGCACTGGTCATCGAAGTTGGATGCCATTAAAATGGCATTTGGGGACTGGGATTTCACCTAATTTTGACACACCACGATTAGTACATAAATGAAAGAACTTACCAAAATACTATTAGCCAAGGTTTCTAGTGAGGAAAAATCAACATCCAGATTTGGTACTAGCAGAACCGTTTGAGTTGGCGCGTAAGTAACAGCAACATTATGCAACGCAACTCTCTCCAGAAAAGACTGTAATTGCAAAATTAAAAGAAAACTCACTAAATCATCCTTTAATATTATTTGTTTAGCCTTTAAACACTAACGGATATTAACGAAGTTTAGGCTACCACATTAACTTAATTGGGCATATTTTAGGATTATATTTCAAAAGTTAGAGCTCATTAAAATGCGATATCATATTAATTTTATTAAATTAGCAGAATCAGTTCGTGTCATTTTAACAATACTACCTAGAAGTAGGTTTAATGACCCGATTTCGTCAAAATTAGTAGGGAAAAGAGAGAGCATTTGCAGAAATACAGCCTGTTTGTGCAGTAATGGATAATAATTGGGAATAAGACCTTAAGCTGAGATAATAAGTATTTGCTAACAAAATACTTTTTTTATTTAATGAAACCGACGTATAACTTCAATATATGGGGGTGCGCGATAGACCTACCTCCACGTGGTGCACCCTAGGCAATGTATACTCATACGGCAAATAAGTCTATTTACTGGCAGTTGACTTCTCACCTCAAACTGCCATAACCCCCCCCCTGTATTTCATATTTCACCACTTCCATAGTAATCACCTCACCTTACCTTTTCTCTACGTTTGTGTACTTCTGTCTCTTTTACATATCTGAATCACTCTTCTTCCTCCCCCCCCCCCCCTCCTCCCCCCCCCCCCCCCCACCTCCCCACCCCGCCCTCCTTCGAATTTTTCCCACTTTGATATTCTTCCTCCTCTCTCTGAAGTCCGAAGTCAGCTAAAGGGCTAGTGATAACTATCAAAACGCCTGCCATTTGAAATAAGTAAATACTTCAATGTATGGTCACGTTCTATTCCATAATAGGGTGTTCGGGGTAGATGGCAAAGTCTCATGGATAAGGGAAGTGGTCGATAGGTAAAATAAATTAGCAGTTTTGGAAAACAAATAGTAAACAATGAATTAACGTTATTTTTAAATAATTTACACAAAATAACCGCTATTAGCACTCATTACGGCCTCAATCCGATCCCACCCGGGTCTCAAAAACTGTTTTACTTCTGTCAACTAATATTCACCTTTCCGACATAATAGTCCATTGTGAGTTGAGATCTTGGGGAAGACTGTTGGAAACAACCACAATATTAAGACTGGTGTGGTTGCAAGAAACTGCAATTATAACTACTTTTCAATTTTATCTCAGGTCGAAGCCTTTAGCCACTACGTGTATTGCCGTGTGTGTGTGTGTGTGTGTGTGTGTGTGTGCAATCCGATCAGATCACCCGCTATGCTTCTTTTTTCGTCCCATATCGATCTCGTAGCCCCCCCCCCCTACAGTTCTGCATTTCATGCCAGATTGTTTCCGCATTTTGAGGAAACTTTGAACTGCAACCATAGTCTACTCATCTTCAAACGACCGGGGCAAATCTTCGTGATGCAATTTTGTTCGCTTCCATGATTCAGGTGGGTTTCAATGACCCATTATTCTTGCCACCAAATTTATGGAGGCTGAATATCCTAGACCTTGGAAAGAATCGTAGTGTACATGAATATCCTTGCTACATTCAGAAAATTCAACCAAATACGGGAATGCAAGTGTAAAAATAAGCGGAAAATATGTAAAATTTGCAGCTTATCCTTTGTACAAAAGCCTTGGTCCTAGTCTTAGTTAAACGAATATTTAAGCCATAAAAATTTGGCTTTTGTTTTCAGGTTGTTTTCAGGTCAGTTGTCAAAAAGTGGGCGACTTAGCCTTTGGAAACTCTTAGTTCTAAATTTAAACATAAACGGTTAATTACTAATTGTCCAGTCTAGTCTATTCCTTGTGTGGAATATATTTAATGCATTCCAACTTGTAAGCGAATTTTACACACATACATCATTTTGGTATACATAATGGAAGAAGATATTCGCCCTCCCCTCTCCAATGGGCTCAAACGTATTTAGAAATTTGAGTAGTGCAATGGTCTCTCCATCTGTACCGTAAACAGCCACGCTCAGCCAACCTGTCCATTGATTGGCGAGTTCAGTCATTTTGGAAATGCTAGGAAATAGAGATCAAAAAGAAATTGACAAAAAAAAAATATTTACTCCTTAATATTCAGAGAAATCGCAAGTGACACACCGGAGGTGTGTCTGGTAAGAGAGTTGTGATCTTGGCTGGCAAAATGAGGATGAATTCGATGATTGGTTGTAAATGTGAACGTATCCAGTGAATGACAAATAGATTGAAGTCTATCCCCCTGTGAAGGACAGATGGACCGAGAACTCATTAACTTTCCACTCGAATGATGACTCTCCATCGCCTAGAACAAAAAAATGATAACTTTTGACCTTTTTTAATATCCCATAAATTCATACTATTTATAAGTTTACCTTTGAAAATGAAAATTGTGGAACTTTGATGGGATCGTGGCGGAACTCATAGCCATTCATGATATTAAATCGACTTCGGTGAAATACATATCGCTTGATGAGATCGTGAACTGGTCAAATGAAATAGACCAATTACTATTATTATTATGAAGATGTGTTTCCCAAGATCATAAACATATTCTCACCATTTTTAGCTAGAAATGTTGGCTCTTCAAGAGTGAAGTTCGTCTCCAATTTACTGGCCATACTGGCGTGAATAATGTGCGGATCTTGAACACCCGAACTGTTTGAATGACTCCAAGTGGTGGGGCATTTTGAAATACCAACTTCACGACGCAACTGAAAGTTCCACGTACATGGTAGAGGATAGAATATATCCGGATTGTCCACAGCCGCCACTGTTAGGATGTACTAGAGAATGCAAAATACCCCTTCAAGTTATGCCAATGAATTTGCGTGGAAAGCATTTAATCAATTTCTAATCACATTGGAGGTGTGTTCTTTTAATCCCAAGTAAACTACATATTCGCATTGATTTACCTCCACGTGGTGCACCCTGGCAACGTATACTCATAC